TCATCATCATCATCATCAACATCAACATCATCATCATCATCATCATCATCATCATCATCATCATCATCATCATCATCATCGTCATCGTCGTCGTCATCGTCATCATCATCCTCTGCATCATCATCAGCAGCATCATCAGCATCAGCATAAGCATCCTCTTCCTACCTCTCCGCCTCCTACGCCTTCTCCTCCTCCGCTCATATGGCTGCCCCTCCTCGTCCTCCTCCGTCCCTTTCCAAACCCTCCGCCCCCCGTTCCACCCCCTCATTCTCCCCCTCCTTCTCTTCTTCCTGGTCCTCCTTTTGAAGCCCTCCCTCTCTTCTCTCCAGGGCCGCCGAAACGGAGGATGGCCTGTCGAGGCATCGGAGGTCCTCCCCGGCGAAAAGGAGCAGCAGGTTGGTGGAACATTAGGAGAAGTAATAGTACCAATCAAATTAGAATTCAGAAGAAGAAAGCTCATCATAAGAAAATGGTCTTTAGGATCCCCCCCTTTGTCCAATGGCCCCCCCCCTTTTTCCAATGCCCCCCCTTTCCAATGACACTTGCTTGCTTGCTCTTGCGTGCTTCCTCTCGCTTGCTTGCTCTTGCTTGCCCTTGCTTGCTCGCAATTGGTCGCTGGCACTTGCTTGCTTGTTATTGCTCGCTTGCGCTTGCTGGCTTCCGCTTGTTTGCTTGCGCTTGGCTGGTTTTGCTTCTCCGGTCCTGCTCCCGTCCTCCTTCCGTCCTCCTCCCATCCTCCTCTCGTCCTCCTCCTGCCCTCCTATCTACTTGGAGTCAACGCTGGCTGATATCATGATGAAGCAGAAGAAGAAGAGGATGAGGAGGAGGAGGAGCATAAGGAGGACAGCCGACGTCGATCAGCACGTTTTGCCCCCGCCTCCCCGATCCTGGCCCCTGCAGGTCCCTGGAGGCCTCCGGTGCAGAGGCCTCCTGAGGCCTCCAGGGGGCATGCGGGAGGCCAGGCAAGGGCCCAAACAGATCGACAGCCTCCCTCCTCGGGGGGCAGCCAAGATTAAGTCGGGCATGTCCCTCTACAGGAGGAATGCCGAGAAATAGTTAAAAAAATAGTCGGGGGAACGACTTTATGTAGTATGGTTGTTGACTATGTTTGAGCATGTGTTGACTGTTTTTCATTTCTCCCGCAGAATCCGCCTGTAGGGGGACATGCCCGACCTAAGACAAGGGGGGGGGATATCATGGCGGGCAACGTGAGATCTCCCCAGATTTCGTGGCGCCTCTTCTCATCTCAATGCGTCCCCGCCCGCCTCCCTGGGCCGCGCACGTGCCGCCGGCCATGATTTGCGCCCCCCCCCTCTTGGACGCTCCCTCTTGGCCGCCCCAAACCTCCTCGATCTCTGATCGGCGGAGCTGTCGCGTTCTGGGGCGCTCCGGAGCGCTCTCGGGGCAGGGCCGCGGCTCCCGACACGTCCACGCGGTGTCGCTCTCAGGAGGGAAAAAACACACAGACACAACGAATCCTCGATTCCCAGAAAATGCAGGAAAAACATTGGAAGTGGGGGGGAAGACAAGAACCGATAACATGTGGGAAAAGATGTGGAATCATGGGATTTGTGTGTATTTATGTTTGTGTGTGTCCCTGGGCCCCCCTAATGCATCTTGGGATCCCCTTGTGGAGAAAGAGGGCGCACGCAGCCGAAGAGTGCGCGTGGAGGGGGCGTCCGAGCGAGGGCGACTCCTCCAGAGCCGCTGGATCTGATCTCTGAGATCCCCGGGAGGCCGGGAGGGGGAGGAGGAGGAGGAGGAGGAGGAGGAGGAGGAGGAGGAGGAGGAGGAGGAGGACCAGTGTAAACCCAAGAGTCATCAACGATGTTGGAATAAAACCTCCCTCCAAGCTCCCTCTTCATAGGCCCTTACAGCGGTTCATTTCTACTGACGGACCTGCCCCGTTGGAAGACAGTTTATTGAAGACCATGCATAAACATTGTTCTCGGGACTCCAACGCCACGGATCAAATTGACTGTTGCGTCTTGACGATCCTACATCATGCCAGAGCGCCATTCCTGAGACTTCAACATCGCGAATAAACGTAATTAAGCGTTGCGCCCGCATAATCCGGAGAAAACATTTCTGGTACGCTGATCATGAGAATCCGTGAAACTCCTGCATGGTTTACAAACGAATGTGCGCGGCGCTAAGGCGAGAGCCACATTGTGAAAAGGAACCGCCCTCAATCCGGGAAGCTCTTGCAAAGGTTTTAAACAAATGTGCGCGGATTTAAAGCGAAAGCAACATTTTGAAAAGGAACCGCCCTCAATTCGTGAAACTATTGCAAATCCGAGGCCCAGCGAGGACCCCCAGAGGCCGAAAATACAGGAGAACCTCCCGCCGTGATTTGGTTCACAAGTCGAGGGGGTCTGGGCCCCTACCGGCGACAAATGGGCGACTGGGGGTCGATGCGCACCCCTTTCCCAATCCCCGCCGATCGTTTCCCTTGATGCTCCTTCCTTTCTCCTATCCCCTCCTCTGACCTGTCCCTGTCCCTTCTCCTCCTCCTCCTCCTTCTCCTCTTCCTCCTCCTCCTCCTCTTCCTCCTCTCTCCTCTCTCCTCCTCCTACTCCTCTCTCCTCTCTCCTCTCTCTCCTCTCTCCTCTCTCCTCCTCCCCCCGCCCCCCTCCCCCCACCCTACTCCCCCCTCCTCCTCCGCCTCCTCCTCCTCCTCCTCCTCCTCCTCCTCCTCACCGACCTGGAGGTGATGCTCGACCTGGTCCAGCTGCAGGGGCCCGACAGGCAGGTCGTGCAGGGGGTGCCCGCCTCGTCCCTGCGGCACCTCGTGCCGATCAGGCCGCCCGGGCCTCTTCGGCCTGAGGGTGGGGCAAGAGAGGCAGAGCGGCAGATAGACAGAAACAGGGAGAGGAGGAGGAGGAGGAGGAGGAGGAGGAGGCAAGGAGGATTGCGTTGACTGAGGAGAGGACTGGCAGTGAGGAGCAGGAGGAGGAGGGGGGTAGGAGGGGGGGGGGGGGGAGGGGGGAGGGGGGAAGGGGGAGGAGATGGAGGGTAAGTAGTAGAGGAAGGAGGAGTTGAGGAGGAATAATTTAAATTAATAATAAAAATAAGAAGATAAGTAAGAGGAGAAGGATGGAAGAGGACGAGGAGGAGGCGGGAGGAGGAGGAGGAGGAGGAGTGAGGGGAGTGAGGAAGGGGGTATGGGAGCAGGAAGGAGGAGGAGAAGGAGGAGGCGGAGGAGGAGGAGGGAGGAGGCGAGGAGGAGGAGGAGGAGGAGGAGGAGGAGAGTAGGATGGGAGGAGGAGGAGGGAGGAGGAGGGAGGAGGAGGAGGAGGAGGAGGAGGAGGAGGAGAAGGAGGAGGAGGAGGAGAAAGAAGAGGAGGAGGAGAAGGAGGAGGAGGGACGGGCAGGGAAATGTCAGAGGAGAGGATAGGAGAAAGGAAGGAGGATCAGGGAAAACGATCGGTGGGAATTGGGATAGGGAGGTGTATCGACCGCCAGTCGCCAGTTGGTCGCCGACAGGGGTCCGATAGCCCCACCCAACCCAGGAACGTGCGGATTCGCTGTCGGGGGCCCATCGCCGATCTATCGGCGACGTATCCCCGATTCCAGGTCGATGCTTCGTCCCCTGTGCCAGTCCCCCCCCTGTCGTTGCCCCTTCCGAGGATGGCGGAAGCGGGGCAGGCGCGGGTCCTGCTGGCACAAGCCGGGGGGGGGGGGGGGGGGGGCACGCGCGCGCGCGAGGCTACTTGCGCACACGTTTGTCTCTCTGCGGGTGCGGGTGCCTTGCCACGCCGCACTCGTCCTCCTTTGCCACCATCCCTTACGAGGAACATCCTGGAGGCCTCGCGCGGCGCGTAATAGTAGTACGACCTAGTGCAATTGCCAGTTCCGTAAGCTATTTTTCGACGCTAGGGCGGCGATGCTCCAGCGTAAATCCGACGTACTTCCGACGTTGTCCGACATGCACCCGACGTGGATCCGACGTAACCCGGGTCTCAAATTGCCGCGCGAGGCCTCCAGGATTTTGCTCATAACAACACGCGAGCCCGCGCACGTATCACGTTTTGGAGGCCACGGCCTCCAGAGCATGCCCTAATGGTCACGGGCGGGCTCCTCAGAAGAGCGCGCACAATTCCGGCATTCGTTTCGCGTCGCTTCGCTTGTGCTCTCTCTCCTCCGTCCCCGCTGTCTCAGTCGAGGAGCTTACGACATTCCGCCCACCCCCCAAAGAAAGCATAGGCAGGCGGGAAAATCTCGGAGGCATGCTGCAGTCTCTTAGGATGGCTCTCAGCATCACCCGGGAGCGTCTGTCGAGGCATCAGGGGGCCTTTTGGTGCCTCTTGGGGGCCTCTTGGGGACCTCCAGGAAGGCTCTTGGGGCCTCGTGGGGGCGGCTAGAGAGGTCTCTGGGGGGCTCATGGGGGCCATCTTGGGTGGAAAGGCTCGAAATTTCAGTTCGGATTCCCCTTCCACGGCCTCTCTTGTGGCTCTCTTGGAACGTCTTGGGAGCCCCTAGGGCCGGCCGGCTTGGGCCTCTCTCGGGGGTCTTCTGGGTCGTCTTGAGGGCCTCTGGGGCCGTCTTGGGGCCCTCTTCGGCCGTATTGGGGCGAACTCGAGACAATCTTGGGACCCCCTTGGGCCGTCTTTCATTCTCTCAAGACGCACAAGGCGAGCATGTTGAAAATGCACGTCTTCCCAAGGGACTGAGACGATTGTTGCTTCTCGGGGCCTTCCCGGCGGTCCTCTGGGAGCACTCTTTGGCCGTCTTTCGGGCTGGGCGAAAGGGGGGGATTGGGAAAGGGGGGGTTACGAAATTTGCTGCATGCAGCTGGTTTCGGCCTCACCGAGGGCCCATTCCTCGATACATAGTCGCCTCCTGCGCCGGGAGGCGCCGAGAAAATCAGCTACGTGAGCTGATTCTCAAACCCCCCCTTTGCTATCCCCCCCTTTCGCCCGACCCGAGTCTTGGGCGCGCCGTGGGCCGTCTCGAAGCCTTGTTGGATCACCGTGGGGCTACCTTGGACCATCTCGACGCTTTATTGGACTGTCTTGGCGATTCGTTTGGGCCCTCTAGACTCTAGAGCCGTTTCGAGGCGCTTCGCTTGTTGTCTCTCTCACTCTCCCCTTCTCTCCCCCGCTCTTGCTGTCTGATCTAACCATTCCGGTCAGGAGGTTTCGTTGCGTTTCGGGCCCCCGGAGACCAGGACACAGATAAACCAGGACACGGAAAACCTAGGAAACGACATCCTTTCCTGGAAAGTCACGTTTTTCAACACCCCTGCATGTTTTGTTTGCTGCACTGCAGGATTCGGGTTTGTGTCGGGGTTTAGGGGTGTCTTGCAGGCTTTTGGGGCTTGTGTCCGGGTTTATTCTGGAAGTGTTGCAGTGCAGTATTTTGTTCGTGCCGCCGTTTGGGAAAATTGGTTTCGGGGATGCTGGGTGTCCAGGTCTAGCGTGTCCGTGTCTACGGGGCCCCGAGCGTTCCTTTCCAGTCACTCCGCGAGCAGCTTGTCTGCAAGGAGTTTACCAACAGGCTCCAGGGAGCCGGCAGGTGCGCCACCGCATCCAGAGTCGGACGGGCGACCCGTGGCCTCCCGTGGCCGCCCATTGGCGTCCTTGTGACACCCCTGCGGCAGAAAACCCTGCACCGCTTTGCGCACAGCCACGCTGGGGGCCACGATGGCGGGTCACGAGGGGGTGCCAGGACGAGGAGGCACCGCGGGGGGGATCAGCACACGGGCAGGAGCAGGCATAGGGTAGGGACAGGGATGTCGGGCTAGAGGCAGGGATGGGCATGGGGCTAGGGATAGGGATGGGCATGCGGGATAGGGGGGTGGAGGAAGAGGAGGAGGGATAGGGACAGGGATGCCGAGAGGGGTAGGGATAGGGAGACAGACGGCACTTGGAGACCACGGAAGGCCACAGAGGACCACGGGAGGGAACCGGAGGCAACGGGGGGCAACGGGTCGCCCCCCCGACTTCGGATCCGGCAGCGCACCCCGCAGTTCCTTCGACGATCCTCCACCTCCTCCTCCTCCTCCTCCACCTCCTCCTCCTCCTCCTCCTCCTCCTCCTCCTCCTCCTCCTCCTCCTCCTCCTCCTCCTCCTCTACTGGGCACCTGGAGACAAGTTGTTGGGGGGACAACCGGTTCTGGCCAGGAACGCCTGCTTAGAGTGTCTCGCTGCTGGCTCTGGCCCACCCCCACGCTTCGGCGCGACACGTCAGCCACGTCCAAGCCCCCCAGCATCAGCGTTCCGAGCTCTTCCGCGAGGCAGAGCGGCACATCGTCCCACGAGGCAGAGCGGCGCGTCGTCGGCTTGCAGGGCACAGCGTGTCGCAAGGGCCGCCGCCGCACACGCCTGGCAAAAGTTCCTGACCGTGTGTGAGCCCGGTGGGTTGGACCTGGAGTGCCTCCACACATCGGCAATCTGCTCCAGCGGTTCTCCCAAAGAGTCGCTCTGGCGAGTCCAGAGAAGGAAAAGGTACCCAAGCCTCCCTCGTTTTCCCCCTCTTGGGCCTCCTGGGTGGTTCTCGTCGCCACCTCTGGAGTCGCCTCGAAATCTTGGTCAGAACGCACCCCAGGAGAGGTCCAGGGAGTAGCGGTGTCAGTACCTTTTGGTTTCCCCACGAATGGCTTGCTCATTGCATGACGGTGGGCACGTCTGTTGCAGGACCGCTCGGTGCGGTGCACTGCCGCACGTCCCTCCTTGGCGGTCGCCCCCTTGCCCCCCTCAACATACACAGACCATTGAGCACTCCGTGTGCTTGTTGACGCGAGTGATGTTTGGAAGTTCTGCGAATGACGAGGTGGGGGAGCGTCAGCCAGGTGTCGAGTAGGGTCAGACCGGAGAGGACCTGGGAGGATCACGCCCAGTAGCTTTTGGAGAAGAGAGCTGTGTTCCTACGTGGTATCGACACGCTGTTGGAGGAGTACGCGGTTTACCTGGATAATTATGATGTTGTTCAAGAGCGGCGACCCTATGACTACCAGTCTCTGAGCCTAACGGCCAGCGTCCCCAGAAATCTGCCAAGCTTTGATGATCTGCGAGCAATCCGATCGCGAGGCCGAGCCAAGGGGCTGCAAGCACATCGCCTGGCCACTCTCGAGACGAGAGCGCGAACGAAAGTTGGAGAGTCGCCCGGCTTTCGGTGACGGTTGAGTCTCCCGATGTTGCCGTGCCTTTTTGCTCAGTGTGTTCCCCTCGCTCTCCGCATACGGCAGGTTTGCGCCGCGTTGACGCAACGGCGACCTCGCTGCGAGCGTTCAAGGGTGAATCATCCGCGCGGTGTCAGAGACCAACGCCAGCGTCATCGTGACACGAAGCTGCCGTACAGTCGGGGCGCTGAAGAAGGAATCCTTTTCGTTGGGGAGGGCTCCGAATTCCTCTATCGTTCAACAGCTTGCCTCAGGTTTGCCTTAGGTCTTCGATCGGAAATCGAAGTTCACCTTCAGGAAAAAAGGGGCATCGTTCCTTGCGTATCGCTCCTGGGGTCAACGCCCCGACTGTAACCCTCTCATCCTCTCTGGCGGCCTCCTGGCCAGCCTTCCAATCGTGACCGCCAGGCTCGTCAGCTGGGTCGTACACCGCACGGACGGCTGGCTCGGGAGGGTGCAGTCCTGGGACGAGGACCTGGTCGTCTGCTTCGCCGCCACGGGCGCCGAGGACCCGTGCCGCTGCCGCGTGCGCGCCGCCAACACGAAGCAGGTCGAAAAAGAGAACAGTGCACAGCAACAAGTGTTCGTCGCTCGGCGCGATGGTCTTGGATCGGCGCTGGGGCCCCCCTGGCGGCGCCGCTGGCGCCGCCCCGGGCGCGCTTTCAGCGCGCCAGGGGGGGGGGAGGTCCAGCGCGGACCCCAGAAGTCTGCGCGGACCGTCGAGAGTTTCTGCCGCTTCTTGCGCCTCCCTAGCAGGGCATCACTATCGCCGAGAGTTTCTACCGGGACTTCTTCCCAGGGCTGGCGGTGTCCATCAACGTGCAGGACAGGGCTGGACCGAAACGATGTTTTGGCCATCTCGTGGGCCGTTTTGCTTGTCGTTTTGTTTCGCATTCAAAGCGAAGCGAAGGCAACACGGCTCGAGGGTTCCACATCCCCCTGTCCTACCTCCTTTCACTCACCATTTACATCCCTCTCAAATCTCTCATCATTCGCACCTCGGTGTGTCTTCTCTCGACTGCGTGTGGCGACGGCAGATGGCACGGATTGGGCAAGTCGTTCGGGTGGTGCCCTGGAGAGAGGTCGGACAGGGAGCGGTGGCCCTAGGGATCGGGCTTGGGCAGGGCGCACGTGCGGCCATCGGAAACTCTTGGGCCTTTGTAGCATCGTTGCCGCGGGATTGCTACGAAGAGAGTGTCCACACGTCGCTCTTGCGCGCGGGCCGCAGGCCACAGTACTACACAATGCCAGGCTTCGGACCCATGTCGTTGGCGTGGGGACGTGGTCTGATGGGGCTAATCTCAGGCTTCTTCCTTGGAACATTTCTGATGCTCCTGTCGCACTGGTGCCGCCGCACTGCGCCCCCGGCATCGCCAGCGCCACAACCTGCGCCTCAGGCGCAGGCCTCGCCACCGCCACAAGCTGCACCTCTGGCGCCAGCTCCACCGCAGATGGCGCTGCCGGAGCCGGTACCGCCGCACGAGCACGCCAAGCTCAAGATCATCCGGTGCATTCAGGCTGCTTGGAGGGCACCCTGCAGTGAGCGAGCCTGCGGAGCACACTGGGGCAGCATCCGAGATGGACTTCTTGCGCCGGCCTGTTGAACTCCAGGGTCTGGGCGTGGTGCATCTCCGAGAGGACAGGGCGCAGCCGTGCATTGCACTACAAGGGCTTCTTTACCATACCGTTTGCGTGGTATTGTATGCCCTACGGCGAGTGCTGTGACTCACCGGGTTTGGTTTTCATATTCTTGCAGGGGCACGTGCAGGAGACGGGTTACGACGCAATACCCGTGGTCCAGAGCTGCCACGGGTACTTCTGGTTTTCACACGGAGGAATACACGAGTTTGTGGCGTTTTTCGCGCGTCTACACGCGCCTGGGAGATAAGAGTCTCCTTCTGCTGCCATACCGGTGCTCTCCATTTGCCGGGCAACGCATTGGTGAGGCATCACACCCAGGGCCTTCCAAACTACACCGGATTACGACTCATCCAACGAAGCGGGTTATGTCCGTCGTGCGGTCTTATTTCGCAGTCATTTCTTTGGTTCTGGTTTTTACTTATATTCTGACCTCTACCATATCAACGAATCCAGCGTTCTGATATACCAGCCCGCTTCCCACTCTGGCTCCGACACCCGGTCCGATTTGCTGTTTGTCTTCGATTTCGGCGCCTACGCTATTCAATCCCGTGGTAAATTAACGTTCAGCGGTAACCATGGTGAAATTATCTATGCCGACGTCTGGGTTTACCTGGATACCGATGGCCAGGCCGGATGCGGCAAGCACACGCCCACGAATACAACGAAGCCAGACATATTACGACATAATGGTCCAAGTGCAGGTGTGACGACTACGTGGATTCCGACTTCGGTGTTCTTAGCGGTGCGTGGATCAAAAACAAATGATGGCGATAATTGTTGTAATATGGGTTCGTTTGCGGGATTTGTTGGGGCCTCCTTGAGGAGCTTATTCCACGGAGGGGTGCACTCACTAGCCCAACTCTGGCACCAGAGTGTCCTAGAACTTCCGATTTCCCGCCGACCCCCCACCTTCCGATTCCGGCTCGATTTCTGATGCCGCCTTCCATTTTTTGATTCCGACCCGCGGGCCCAACCTCAGTGCCACGTTTCCCGGGATCTTAGTGCACTGGCTCCAGGTCACGAATGTTAAGTCGGGCGTGTCTCTCTATAGGAGGAATATTCAAAAATAGTAAAGAATTAGTCTAGGACGTTTTTTTTAATACCATTTTCGAATATGTTTCCCAACCCTCCTGTGTTGGGTTCTCGTTTTGAATAGAGCAGTGTGGTCGCCCCGTCCTTCCTCCTTCCTCCTCTCCTCTCCTCCACTCCTCCTTCTCTCCTGTTTCCTGTGTTCCACCACTATAGCTCGCGGTGCCCTGGGGGGATGAGATCTGCGAAATTGTCGGCATTTTCGTGGGCTCTTGGGAGGTCCAGCGGAGGTACGTCATACGCGGACCAGCGGTGCCCTGGGGGGCTGCGATCTGCGAAATTGTTGACCTTTTCGTGGGCTCCAGGGAGGCCCAGCGGAGGTACGTCATACGCGGACCACCACTAGAGCTCGCGGTCCCCTGGGGGCTGCGATCTGCGAAAATGTCGGCACTTTCGTGGGCTCTTGGGAGGCCCAGCGGAGGTACGTCATACGCGGACCACCACTATAGCTCGCGGTGCCCTGGGGGGCTGCGATCTGCGAAACTGTCGGCATTTTCGTGGGCTCTTGGGAGGCCCAGCGGAAATTCGTCATATGCATCTGCGGACCACCATTATAGCTCGCGGTTCCCTTTGGGGGCTGCGATCTGCGAACATGTCGGCACTTTCGTGGGCTCCTGGGAGGCCCAGCGGAGGTACATCAGACGCGGACCACCACTATAGCTCGCGGTGCCCTGGGGGGCTGCGATCTGCGAAATTGTCGGCACTTTCGTGGGCTCCTGGGAGGTCCAGCGGAGGTACGTCATACGCGGACCACCAGAAACGCCCCTCGTGTGTCCGTTTTGTATTTTCGCCGCTGCTCTTCTTGTTGCGCTCTTCTGACATCACTGCTGGGTGCTCTTCTTGCGCACTGCGAGTCCTTCAGAATGCCAGTCAGCATTGAGTGGTCCTGAGTATACTCGCCGCATGTATAGAAAGGGATGGGTACGTCGCATTGTATTTGTTTATTTGTGAGGATTTTTTGATTTTTCGTTCAAAATCGGCCTGTAGGGGGACACGCCCGACCTAACACTATTGTCTGATCCTGAAGGGCCGTCGGTTTGATAGGCGTGGGCAGAGATGCATGGGAGACCCACTGGCGACGGGAAGGACACCAACAGCCGAGTGGACATTACAGACTACACGGGCTCCGACCGCAACGCCAGGAACCAACATTCTCTCACCGCTTATGGCAATGCAGGGTACGCAACAACATCATGATGCGATTACGGTTGTGGCGAGTACTTCATTTCCGACGGGCTCCGGAACCAATTCTGGCATCGTGTTCTTTTGGGATCCCGACATACCAATTCCAGAGAATCGTCCCATGCCAAAGAAGCGTACGATCGATGCACAATTTAGGACACAACAACACCTCCCACCATCAACGACACGACTGTGTGTTATCGTTGCAAGGTTCTTTTTTCTTTATTCGGTGTTACGGCGTGGGGGACTTACTTTTCCTGAACGACATCAACAAGAATACCGCATTATTAGGTGGGTGTGTGACAGGACGTGTGGGAAATAGGATTGGGTACCCATATCTCGTCGGTACGCACCTCTTGGCGAATCCAGGGGCTGTATTACCATACGAGGTCACATCATGTGCAGGAATACGGATAGGGGAAGAGATCAATCCAGGCCCACCGTTGGAATTAGAAGGAGCTCGGCAACGTGCGCTAGAATATTTGACATAACTTGGGATGGCTACGGGTGTATCTCTACAAGGAGCGCGCCCGCTGCAAGCAGATAGAAGGCTCGCGCCGCGTTCCTCAACAATTCGGTTTCCATTCCCGGGACTGGCCGATCTTATTAGACAAATTTCGGGACTGACTGAACGTCTTGCCGAATCGCCTTCCCCGGGAAGAGATGAATACGAACCGCTTTCAACAGTGGGCCAAGCCTTAGGGCTCCTGGTGGAAGGCCTGGTATCTGGTCCGCTGGACCATGACCGGCAACCTGGTTTTCCGACACAGGTTACAGGTTGGCCTACATTGCCTGTCAGCCAAGGGCCTCCAGCTGAAACACATCCACCACCCCACGACCTCGAAGGACCTCCCAATTCAGAGGGCCCATTGGCGTGCGACGTTGGGGGCAACGATACGCCCGAGTTTCCGCATCTTTTTCAACATCTTCTTCCTGAAGGGCGCGACACACGCATGGCGGACTTCGTCCTAATGCGGAGGATCACCGACCTCCCGCCGACATTATTAGAGAACGAAGTGCAGACTGACATACAAGAACAACATTGGTCGGTGTTCAATGTGCCCTTGATTTGGACTACAGTGGGGGATAACCATGTTTTATGGTGCTTTTGCGATATGGGAGCGGAGTTTCCCGATATGCCCAAGACGCCTATTCCAGATCAGTTCAGATGAGCATTCCGCGCATGGCGACAAGCATTCCTAGAAGCAGAGATTATGGATGGCAGTGGTCTGATTCAGTGGTTGCACATCCAAGGGTACGATACACGATATTTGACTGTGGGCAACTACGTGGGTAGGGAATCGCAGACACGAATCCTGGATTACGTCCGTACCATGTCGGTGGATTCTCGCCTTTTACTCGACATGTATTATTATGCAGCTTTGTGCGTGCACCAGACTCTGCCATTGCACGATTATCTATCCCACCATATTTCAGAATACGTGTCTATGCATCCACCTTCAAGACCCGCACCACCCCCAATATCTGAGCCACATGGGCAACGTGCGTTCCTTGGAAATGGAGATCGAGCGGCGCTACCACGATTCCGATTACCGCTAGGAATTTCAACGCAACGTTCCCGGATTGATGGGCTCATATACGGATTGTCATTTGGGTTGTGAATATAGCTAAGCAAGTGCAAACCATGAAGACACTACCAACATGCATCCGGGATGTTTACGCGCGCATTTTTATTCAAGTCTTGTGCATTGTGCGCGCGGAGTTTGTGAATTGGCAAGTAGGAGACATATCGCAACAGGAATGCGTATAAACATGGGGCACTCGTGTTGTTGCTACCGCGGCTTTGCTTCACCATGCAATGCGCGGTGGGCAGTCAGGGGCGCGTGACCTCAAGCGCTGCATCGCATTATTTGATGAAGGTGCATGGGGTCAACTCGTGGAGGCCGCGCACTCCGACCTCAAGGGCCGAAAGCCTCCCAACCACACGAAGTCCAACGACATCGAGGCAAAGCGCATAGACAAAGCAATGGCTTTAGCCCAAAATAGGGAACTCAGCCCGCGGCGCGGACACTCACATCACCCGCTCTCGCCCCCGGCACGCCCGCGACTTTGACTGGGCTCACGAATCCACGATTCAGGCCGACGCACCCAGCAGAACCTCTGCTTCAAGAGTTGGACACGTTTCAACCAGAACACCAAATCAATTTGGATCGTCACGTTTTTGGGACTGCGTTGCGAACGTCGAGGAAAGGCTTGAGCCCAGGGATGTGGGGGTGGAGGGTACGAGTATAATAAAGTATGCTTGCTATGCGAAACCAGCTTTAAAGCGTTGTGTGAAGTGGCGGAGCACTTAGCTAGGGCACAAATCCAACGACCTATCAGTAACGCGTTGCGCGTCTCTGCGCTCACGGCATTGAATAAACCAAACAAGCGGGTACGAGGGATCGCAGATGCAGATGCGCTCCGCCGGTTGGTATCCAAAGTTTTGGCAAAGCAGCACCAAGAACCTCTAAGGGACGCAATTCACCCTCACAGTTTTGGGGCCCTCCGAATCAAATGATATTCAGTGTGGATGGGATGGGAGCTTACGATCACATCAGCAGGACTCGTCTGTTTGAGCATCGGCTACAAGATCAGGCGTTGCACTGATGAATACAAGTTGTGAGGCAATGATATGGGTTACAATCCGAATTCCGATGGATACACGACAACAAGACATTGTATGTTATATTTCATGGTGACGGTGGTGAACAGGGGGGCGCTCAGATGCCAGGACTGTTTTGTTTAGCTTCACGCCCGGCGCTGGAACAAATCCTCAATCGATTACCTCCCTGGAATCGAAATCTTTGAATGTGCGATCCAAGTGATGCGGCCTACACTTGGAATGTGGTGAAGATAAAGATGAACAGCACGCGCCATATCTACATCCACATGGGGGAAACTCCAAGTTTGGGGTCCCGACCCAACATGCCCAGAATATTTGCGGGCTGCAGCGCCGCATGCTTTTGAAAAGCAACGCATGAGCGAAAGTTTAAGAAATCCCGCTTGGATGCGACGAGTACATTGCCGCTCTCGGAGTTTAGATCACCGCAAAGAGGGAGCAGCTATCGAAATAGATCCCCAGCTCCCTTCGTTGCAAATGTTGCGGCGACGAAGCACGACCAATGGCGAGAGAAGACGACAAGGCTATGTTGGATACGTTTCGGACCTTATTCGGCATAGCTCCGAAGGACTCGTGGGATTCCAATCTTCATGGGGTCGAATTCGATACATGGGCCGATCAAGCACAACTAACGTGACTTTGGGGAGGAATGGGGCTACGAAGCCCATGCACAACAGCTATGGCAGCCTAGAGGCCAGTTGGGCGGAGGTGCTTTCAATATTGTTACAAGCGTTCCCGCACGTAGGACGCAACATTTTGTTTTGGCTCATTGCACTGCAGAGAGTGGTCATGGAGCCCCCCTTTGCCTCAGAGCAACAGATGCGGCAGGACGATATTGCGATCAAACTGGCTGGAAGAGTCGACCTCGATGGCAAAATGTTGAGAATGAGGAGCGCCAACCATCCCTTTCAGAAGATCGCTCCGTTCTGGGCGACTGGGAACATGGGTGGCAAGTCCATGCGGCAGACGCTATTCAGCGCACCGCCCACGATAATTCACTTCGCACATTGGCCTTGCCTGTTACGGGGGCGAGCGAACGCGGCATCCGCAGGCAAAGCAAGGCTGAACTGTGCCATGGGACCCTATTCAACAACATGGGTCCTGGCATGCCCGCCGTGCAAAATTCTGGCATTCGCACAGAGGGACTTATTAGGTGCAGTGCAGAGACGTTTGGGCATCCCTGTTACGCGGTCCGGACCCTCACAGTCATATTATGCTTGCGTCTGGGACTGGGGGTCGCACAGTCGTACACAAATTTGACATACAGAGGTCGTGGCGGGGTGGAGGCAGATTTTTACAGAAGCGGGCTGCATGGTACACGACCGCAGTGTTGAACGTATGTTGGCTAGAACAAATATCCCGATTCCACCCCACGACCAACGACGCCTCTAATCGTGACGTGTGTTCACATGGACCGCGGACTCCCACTTAACACATCTCCCCTATTGGTGGTACCGGGAGGGCCTGGTGAGGAACGAGCGACGCAGGAGGACGACCTTTAGAAAGGGCGGAAATGGTAAATAACGGTATGCATTCAGAGGTTATCGACAGTGGGTTGGGGTCGTTGCAATGTTTGGCTGCAGAAATTAACGAGTGTGCCAAAATTTGCGCACGAACGTGTAAAGACTCTGCATCCACGCATACAGCGTGGAGTAGCATTAGGGCTTCTTCAGCGCTGGTGGGGGATCCTAGGCATCGCAGTGCCAAAACATTGTAGCTAGGTCTGTGCACGACCCTTACGGCGACCTCCCGCGGACACCGCCAGAGCCGCCCGGTGCGCTCGCTGATTAGGATGTGATGTAGTGCCTGTCTCCTCCTCGTCCTCGTCCTCCTCCTCCTCCTCCTCCTCCTCCGCCTCCTCCCCCTCTTCCTCCTCCTCCTCCTCCTCCTCCTCCTCCTCCTCCTCCTCCTCCTCCTCCTCCTCCTCCTCCTTCCGTAGCCATTTTGGCTCAAGGGTTCCTGGGACCCGCGATCCACATCTGGCCGCGTGCTCCCGCCGCGAGCGGGCGTCCTCGCCATGGCGCCTGCTGGATGCTGACGCACCTCTGCATCGCGTTCTTCTGCCACCTTGGAGAAGGACTTCATCTACCTGCTCGTTTTTCCTCCCCACCGTGCGCGTGGGCTACACGCGGTATGACGGGTTGCCGCTCCTACGTACAGGCGCTCGCCCAGCAGCGCCCGCTTACAGCCGAACAAGAACGACGACGCTTTCGTGACGCTCATTATCGCGCTGTCCAATCTGGCCCGGGTCGCCGCTTTGTGGAGTGCGCCGCCGAGGACCACACCGCGGTCAAGGCGATGGCTCGAGGCAAAGAGCTTCACCGCTGCCTGGACTGGAAGCGCGGCGGGTCCACGGCGTCGGGCAGGATCTCCGCCTACCGCTCGTGGAAGCTGGGCACGCTGGACCAGACCGACTACAAGTCCGCGAGGCGCTATCTCGAGCGCGCTGACCATGCCAAGCACTACCACCCCGCAGCGCCCACAGCAACAGCACGTTCGGCATTGGCAAACGTACATGACAATGATGACTTCCGAGGTGGTGTCTTTCCGCCCGACGCTCACCCTGACTTTCGTCCTGTCAGTTGCACATGGAGGCGCTGTTCTGCACAACGCTGACAAGAAGATCAACTCGCTCCCTGCGCTGCCAGAGTTCACGTTCACGCTGCACAGCGACAGCCTGCTCGCCACGATCGACGAGAATATATCAACGTTCCAGCGCTCGCTCATTACAACTATCGATGCGAAGGTACCGAATGCTGCCGACACGATTCGGGCCGCCATGTATGCCAATTTCGCCACGATGGATGCGATCGGCACCGTGGCCGCCACGCTCCACGACACGATGCCCAAGAGCCTCCACACCAACTTCGTGCAGTCCAAAGCTGTGATCACCGAGATGCTCGAGGAGTCTCTCAAGCGCCAGCGCCCGCCGCCCCTCCGACGCCCGACCGCGCTGCCCGACAACATGCGTCACGAGATCCGTGCCATGTTCGACCAGAAGTGGCTGGACGTCAAGGCGTACGCCAACACGGATACGAAGCGGTCGCTCCGCGCATTCAGGCTGCAGATCAACAACTTGCTTCCCGAGCTCAAGACCGAGCTCGACGAACGGGCGAAGGTCATCGAGTACGACTACGACGAGCTGCGGCAGCAGGTTGACAACATTGAACAACACGTCCAACACGTCCAAGGTCGAGAGCCGTCACGGGTTGACTTCGGCGGCAGTTTGGACTCCAAGCTTGACAGTTACTACGGCTCGCTCCTCACCAGCATCAGGAACGCCTGCTGCGACACCTTCTCGAAGCTGCTGGACACCTACGCCATGTCCCTGAAGCCTTCGCCGTACGAGGTTCCCTCGATCGAGGAGCTGATGGAGTGGACGAATTTGAGCAGTCCAGCGCCAGCTTCATCTACGCCTACACACAAGTACTTCATCATGTGGTTCTTTCTCTGAGACCACAGCTTACGGGTAGGTGAGCTAGGCCCGAGCACGCAGCGGTGGAGACAAACTCATTTGCCCTCTTCTCGCTTCGTGCTCGTGACCGCCTGCCTTCTTCCTTTCTTCAGAATACCCAGACTCCTTCTCCTCCTCCTTCTCCTCCTCCTCCTCCTCCTCTTCCTCCTCCTCCCCCTCTTCCTGTAGGGCTGCTTAGCTTGCCGCTGGCCGTCTCGCCCAAGGCGATTGTCGGGCTAGGACTGTTGTGGCGCTGCGTGGTGGCTGATTGCGCGCGGAAAAATCACTGTTTAGCTTCAGCCCTGGTGCAGGACCTGCGCTCCGGCGCCCTCGTGTCCGAGTGGCTGGAGGGCGACGCCGCGCGAGCCACGGCGGCCCCGCGGGCTGGCGCGGAAGGAGAAGCGGCGGGGCCGCCCCCCCAGCGCGTGGAAGCCGTCATCGAGGAGGTCCGCGTCGGGTCGGCGCACGTGGAGTGGCTCACCCAGGTGAGAGCGACGCCCCCGCAAGAAAACGGGGGCCGTCGTCGCCGCCCCTGGCGCGCGAGCTGCCCGCGTCAGGCCGCGCGCTCGTCTCCAGTGCAGCGTGCCGCGCTGGCGGCCCCGCGTAAGCCACCTCGCGATGGGCCCGTTTTCCACCACCACCACCACCACGGGGATTGGGCGCCCCAGCGACGGCGAGAGATTGGGGTTCGCGGCTGTTGCCGACGTCAGCCACACGCAGATTGGGGTGGGGTGAGAAGGGAAGGTTTCTTAGAAACACCCTTGCTTCTCAGAAGGCGCGGGCCTTGTCTGTAGATGTAAGGGTCCGCGCCTTCTAAGAAGCATCCTCCTTCTAAGGAGCCTCCCCCCTCCTCCTACCCCTTTGTGCGCGCCGCCAGCGATGCTGTTGGATTGGCCCATATTGCAGTGTGACGGCCCAGACTTCGTGGGATGTTCCCACGGGGGCGCTCGCGTCAGATTTCAGACTCGGTTTCGTCGCTTCTCTGCCGGCCCTGTCAGGTCGACCAGAGTCCCCCGAAGCCCTAGTCTTGCGCTTCCCCGGCGCATGCCGCCAGCAATGCAGATTTCTTCGCAGGATGCGGGCCCCGTGAGCTCCGAGGCGGGAACTGATCCACCACCACCGCCTTGGGAATCGACCTTCGGGGACCTCGGCAGGCGGTGGATGTGCACATATTCTGGCCCTGGAGGTGGACAGTCTGTCCATATCCACCACCTGCCGAGGTCACAGAGGGCCGATCCCATGGGCGGTGGTGGTGGACAAGTCCCCGCCTCGCACGAGCTGTCGAGCGGCCCGCCAGCTGGTGCTGCCGAGGGGCCTGGGCCTCCAGGGCGGGGGCCCGAGCTGCGGTCGCGAGCTGCTAGTTGGCGTGTGGCTCCGCCGGTTCTGGCCCACCTCGCTTCGGCGCGTCACGCTATCCACATCTTGGTCCCCAGGCCTCGACGTCCTGAGCTTCCCCGAGATCCGACGTAGCGAAAAAATTGCAGCATCGTGAACAGCATGCCCGGAACCCTAGACTCCATCTTTCTGCATCCGTTTTTTGGGGCGGACAGAGCCCCCACCCTGACACGTCGATTAGTGGATTGTTCGTTTTCGGTTCTCGAGAGGGCGCCGCGGCCGTCATTTTCAAGGCTTGCGCCCGCCAGGTTTGGGCCCGAGGTCGTTTGACTAAACCACGTTTTACTAAAGGGGGTTCTATCCATCCCCGAATTTTTCGAGCCGGATCGATCTGTGGGGGCCCCTGGGCCTGAAAAAAGGCGAAACCGCTCAGCTCGGAAACATGGAGATGCCAGGACGCTCCAGCGCTGGCTAAGCCAGCCGACGGGACTCAGTGCTGATGAGATTGCGTCGTACTCCAGTGGATATACACAAACGGCCAGGTTCTGATTGGGGATGCTCCCGCTACCCCGACCGTAAGATGAACCATTCCCAGCTGCCCCAAACCAAGTTCGACCACCCCCCCCACTACACAGTACCCCTCTTGACGTCGTTCGTGCGCAAGCCGCTGTCTCACCACCAGGGCCTCGGGGTTTTGCCATCCCCCCGTCCCGGCGAGCGGAGCGGCACGCGATCCACTCGCGGGGGCACGGCGCGTCGCCGGGGCCGCCGCCGCGACGCGCTATAAGCGCACAAGGTCCTGGCCGGTCAGGCTTAAGTCGGGCCTTTCCCTCTACAGGAGGAGTAGCCAAAAAGAGTCAAAACATAATCTGGGGACGACTTGCATCGCAATGTTGGCGTATGTTTGAGCTGTTTCTTTTCTTGCGTATTTTGAGAATTTCGTCCACAATCCGCCTGTCGGGGGACATGCCCGACCTTGCGCTGAGCGCAAAAGGCCCCGGGCCGGCCACTCTCGCCGCGGTCCGTCGCCCGGGGCGGCGAAGAGGGGGGCGACTGCTAGCGGACCTCCGTGCGGGGCCACGACCTCTCCCCAGAGTTCATGGCGTCCCCCCTGAATGTAATCGCAAATGTTTTCAACAGTGCAGATGGGTGGGCTCCCCACCCTCTGCTCACGGTGGGCGTGGCCTCGGATGCTAAGCGCCCCGAGCCCTGAGGTTACCAAGCGTGCATGCGCATCTGAGCGTCAGACGGGCTTCTTTCGCCCACGGGTGCCCCAAACGATGCCCAAGCCACCACCTGCACCCCTGCCTACCAACCGGAAGCTGTGCACACGCTGCTCGAACCTTCCAAGACCCTGGGCCGCGCACGTGCCCCTGGCCATGCCCTGCGCCCCCCCCCCCCTCCTGTTCAGTCGGGCCTGTCCCCCTGCAGGCGGAATATTCAAAAGTAATCCAAAAATAAACTGGGGACCATTTTTTGCATATGTTTGACCATTTGGGAATAGATGTTTTGAATATTTTTTCATGTTCCTCGAAAATCCCCCTGTATGGGGGACACGCCCGACTTAACCCTCCCGTGACGCCCCCTCTCGCGGCCGCGGACGGCCGCCCTCTGCCTGGCCCTTTGGCCTCTCGGGGGGGCGCCGGGCCGCGCGGCCCGGCGCGCTGCGGCCCGGGCCGGGCGGCGGCCTCCCGGCGGCCGCGGGGCGGCGCGAGGGCGCGAGGGCGGCCGCGCGCCGCGCCGCCCAGTTGGCAGGTGGATCGCTGGAGCTCTCCGCCGCCGCTGGTCGGGGGCGGCAAAGAGGGGGGTGACGACTATGGGGGGGGGGGATCTCATGGCGGGGGCCATGATATTTCCTCAGATGTCATGGCGCCTCTTCTTATTTCATGACGTCCATGGCCCCCCCCCCGCTGGGCCGCGCACATGCCGCCGGTCATGATTTGCACCCCCCCCCCTCGTGGACACCCCCCTCTTGGCCGCTCCCGATCTGGCGGTGTGCCTGGGGCTTTGCGGTGATCCTGCTCGTGGACAGGTGTCACGTGTGCGGAGCTGCGCTGCCAATGCCGCGCGTTCCTGTGGCTCTGCTGCGTTCCTGCTCGCAGCGCACGCCGCCAGTGGCGGCGGAGAGCTTGAGAGATCCACCTGCCAAAAGAGCCCCCTGCGGGTCATGAACAAATTCAAGCAGTGGCGAAGCAGCCTGGCGTACCTATAGGCCTGCCAAACAATGTTCTAAGAACCTTCTGTGGTTTCCACGAAATGGTCTTGGAACATTTCTGGCTTGGACGTTCTTGTTTCAACACATCGGGCTTATGTTCTAAGAACATTGTTTTTTAGCTCTAAGAAACTTTTGGGGTTCTAAGAACATGTCGTGGTAGGCCTATGGAAATGCCGGGACGGTCGGTCCCTACTCAAAAAACATTCGTCGTGGCGCCAACATCGAAGAGCGGGCTTCGTGCGGGAAACTTTGGGATGGGCCTATCCTGGACTGCCCGGGATAATGTCGCTCCGGATGAAATGATTTTCGCGCGGAATATGAAGACTGCAGAAAATCACGTGAAATTCACGTCGTGTTTCGCTCGCCCTTTCGGGGTTTTGCACTGGCAGAAATCCATGCAAAAATCCTCTGCAGCGCGTCTGCCCTCCTGGATGGGATCGGAGCAGATGGGGTCGGGGTCGGAGGATCGCGCCGGATCGCCAATGCATCGCCGATGCGGCTCGCTGTGGAGCCCGAGTTGCTTCACGTCGACGTCGCCGATGCATCGCCGACGTCGCCGATGCGTCGCCAGTGCGTCCCCGATGCATTGCCGATGCACCGGCGATGCGGCGCGATCCTCCGACCCCATGTGCTCCGACCCCCTCCAGGAGGCCTTTAGTCACGAGGGGAAGGTCTTCGCCATCCTCGGCCTCAGCGGGGGCCCTCGCCGGCCCTCGGGACCGTCCAGAAACCACGCGGGATGAAAATCAGAGGCGACGATAGGGGCGAATAGCCCAGGGGAGAGCAATACACGTCTCCACGTGCGCCGATGCCCTATGTTTTCGGAAAGGCTCCCGGGCGAATACGTGTAATGCCCGCCCTTGGGCTATTCGCCCCTATCGTCGCCGCCGAGAAAAGCCGGTCCCGGCGCACGCGGGTGTCGTCGTCGTCGTCGTCGTCGTCGTCGTCGTCGTCGTCGTCGTCGTCGTCAGCGTCGTCAGCGTCGTCGTCGTCGTCGTCGTCAGCGTCGGCGTCGTCGTCGACGTCAGCGTCGTCGTCGACGTCGTCATCGCGTCCGGGACCCAGCTTGGGATGAGCGGCGCGCCCCTCGCGGGCAGCCTCTTGGATTCGGCGAGGTCAGTTCAAAGAAGGGAGCAGCCCCAGACTTGGCTGCCCTGATACGCCCGTGTTGAATCGCAGCACGCACCGTGTTGGAAACGTCCGTGTTAACACGCTGCGTGTTTGCTCCACGTGTTGGCCCGCGTTTTGGCGAACGTGTCTCGCCAGACCTACGTGTTCAGTCTGCGTGTTGAGATTCGTGCCATGACGCTACGCGTTGCGTTTTGTGTGCCAGGGCAGCTAAAGCCGGCAGGCAGCGAGGTTCAGCGCAAGCGGGGCTCAGCCACGGCGCTGGATCCTGCAGGGTCCTGCCAGGCCAGATTGTGGCTGAGCCGGGTTGGAGAGCCAGGCGCTGCCCTGGAGGTGGCCTGACGTATTGGCGGAGCCGTGCTTCCCAGAGATCCGATGTCTCGTCATCCTTTTCCCTCACATCTCATCATCTCATCATCATCATCATCATCATCATCATCATCATCATCATCATCAGCATCAGCACCATCATCATCATCATCATCATCATCATCATCATCATCATCATCATCATCACCATCATCATCATCATCACCATCATCATCATCATCATCATCATCGTCGTCGTCGTCATCATCATCATCATCCTTATCCTTATCCTCATCCTCATCCTCATCCTCATCAGCATCATCATCATTACCATCATCATCATCATCAGCAGCATCATCAGCATCATCATCATAATCATCATCATCATCATCATCATCATCATCATCATCATCGATATCGTCATCATCATCATCATCATCATCATCATATCCATCGTCATCATCACCACTATCGTCGTCATCATCGTCGTAATAGCCGCCATCATCATTACCGCCAGCATCATCATCATCATCATCATCATCATCATCATCATCCTCATCCTCATCATCATCATCATCATCATCATCCTCATCATCATCGTCGGTGCACCCCTCACGATGATCGTGGCCCCATGGGGAGCTCCACCGACCGCCCCAGTGGCGCAACCCGCATGCGTCACGCACACCCACTTCGGCACACCACTCACACGTTTCGTGGCCTCATAGGGAGCTCCGCCGAAGGTCCCAGTGGCGCAGCCCGCATGCGTCACGCACACCCATTTCGGCACACCCCTCACGTTTCGTGACCCCGTTGGGGGCTCCACCCAGGGTCCCAGTAGCGCAGCCCGCATGCGTCACGCACACCCATTGCGGCACACCCCTCACACGTTTCGTGGCCCCATAGGGAGCTCCGCCGAAGGCCCCAGTGGCGCAGCCCGCATGCGTCACGCACACCCATTGCGGCATACCCCTCACACGTTTCGTTGCCCCATAGGGTGCTCCACCGACCGCCCCAGTGGCGCAGCCCGCATGCGTCACACACACCCATTGCGGCACACCCCTCACACGTTTCTTGTCCCCATGAGGGAGCTCCACCGACCGCCCCAGTGGCGCAGCCCGCATGCGTCACGCACACCCATTGTGGCACACCCCTCACACGTTTCGCGCCACCATAGCGAGCTTCACCGACGGCCCCAATGGCTTTTTCCGCATGCGCCCACCGCACCTATTTCGCACACACCTCTGACGCGTTTCGTGGCCGCCGACACACCCAGTGGCCGCCCTCGCATGTGCCCACCAGAGAAATTTCTGGCACATTCCTCACATGTTTCGTGTGAGCTCCTCCGAATGCGGTGCATACAACGACGGTGTTCACAACTGCACATGGTTGGGTCTTTCGCCAGGCTGATTTTCAAATACTCGGCGGCGAGCCCAGGGGGGGAGTGCGTAGGGGCGGGCCTTCTCAGAAGGCACGGAAGGCCTCCAACCTTCTGAGAAGTGCCTTACTCTATCCCCGAAGACATCGAACATTTCTCAGAAGGCGCGAGGGTTTCTGAGAAGTCCCGCCGCCTTCTGAGAATGCCGTCTCCGCCCCTCGTTCGCCGCCAGAATACGGGGTCTGTGGAAGTTTCGACACTTTCCTGGGGACCGGCTCATCCTGAGTCAGTTTTTTGGGCGGTCCTGGGGCCTGATCGAGGCCCCCAGAGGCCGAAAACGGCGAATCGCCTCCGTCTCGGGTCTCTGGGTTGGGAAGCCCCACGACAAGTTACGGTGCACGCTTTCTCTAGATTGGTTGAGCCTGGTTTGCCTTGAGCCACGCCCGACCCCGTCGGGGCTGAAGGGATGGGGGTCAATGCAAACGAGGGCCAGCAAGAACGCCAGATCTTGCAGGATCCTGCAGAACCAGGGGTGCACTGACACGCGCCAGCGCGCAGGATCCGTCAGACTCTTGCAGGATCTTGCTCAGGGGCAACGATCGGGGGGAAGAACAGGGCATTGCATCGAACCCCAATCGCCGATGGATCGCCGATAGGGGCCCGATAGCCCCAACCTGCCCCGGAACGTGCGAATTCACTATCGGGGGCCCATCGCCGATCTATCTGCGACGTATCGCCGATTCCAGGTCGATGCTCCCCCCCCCTTAATGCCGGCCCCCCCATCCTTGCCCCTCCCTTGGAAATGGGGTCGTCTTCACCGACGTTGGCGCGCAAGCTGCCCGCGTAAGGTCGCACGTGAGCGCCCTCACCGCGCCGGCGGCCCGCGTAAGCCACCGCGTAAGGTCGCCATGTCGTCTCGCGTAGTGCCCCTTTCGGATCCTTGCCCCGCACGTGCGGGAGCCTGCAGGGCCTGGCCGGCCCGGGTCTGCGCTGCGCCCAGGTGCGTCCCCTCCCGACCTCGGAGATCCCCTGGGCCCATCACCGATCTCTCTGCGATGTATCGCCGATTCCGGGTCGACGTCCCCACCAGGGCTCGACCTAAACGGATTTGGGCGATCTCGTGGACTGTTTGCGTTTTGATCTTGCCTTCCAGTGCAGGCGGGTCGGAGACAGCACGAGGGAACACGACACGAAAAGGGGGAGAAGAAAAACGCTGTGGTCGAGCCCTGGTCCTCCCCCCCCCCTCTGCCAGTCTCTCTCCCTTGCGTTGCCCCTCGCGCGCGGGATCCTGCAGGGCCTGGCCGGCCCGGGTCTGCTCGTCCACGCGCCGAGGGGGGTCAGGGGGATGGGGGCAGGCTCCTCAGAAGCACCTTCGCTTCCCAGAAGACGCGGGCCTTTTGTCTGAAGATGCAGGGCCGGCGCCTTCGAAGAAGCAGCTTCCTTCTGAGAAGCCTCCCCCCCTCCCCCTACACCCTTGTGCGCGCCGCCAATCTGCGCTGCGCCCAGGTCATCTCGGCACGAGCGACACGGGTACGGAAAGAATGTGTACAATGCCCAAAAGCAGCTCCTGTTCATTCTGAGCAGGACTCGCTGTCCGCGCCGCCGCGGCCTGTGTCCGTCTGAGCCAGACGGCCGCCTGCCCAACAGCGACCGCTGCTGGTTTGGGGCAGCATTTGCTGTTGGGCATTGTTCCCATCTCGGGCGTCCAAATCATGGCCAACTTTTTTTGTTGGACAACTGTTGTTTTTTGTTGTTTTTTGGTGTCCAAATCATGGCCAAATCGGGCTTCCATCTTTTTGCGTTGGACAACTTTTTCTCCGTGCCCATTTCGGGCGTCCAAATGATCCGTCCCCGCCCGGCCTCGGAGATCTTTCCCAGGGGAGCATTGTACCCATTCCGGGTGTCTAAATCGTTCCATGGCGGGCGTCCGTGCCCACATTCGGGCGCCCGAAGTGGGCTCGGACAACATGTTTGTCCGTGTCCATCTCGGGCGTCCAAAGCGTCCGTCCCCGCCCGACCTCGGAGACCTCCCGGGGGGCGGGGGGGGGGGGCCGTCCCGGGCGCCACCCCCGAGGTGCCGCTGCGCCGCGGGTGGTCCACGGAGCGGCCGCCCCGCTCGGAGGAGTGCCAGGACGTCGGGGCGAGGGCGGGGGGCGGGGGGGGAAAGCGGAGCACAGGCGCAGAGAGTCGTGGCTTCGGAGTGCGGTGGTGGCATTGGACAAGGCATTGGACAAGGAGCCATTGGACAAGGAACCATTGGATAAGGAACCATTGGATAAGGAACCATTGGAAAAGGAGCCACTGGAAAGGAACCATTGGATAAGGAACCATTGGATAAGGAACCATTGGAAACGGAGCACAGGCAGGCACAGATAGCCTTGGCTTCGGAGTGCGGTGGTGGCATTGGACAAGGAACCAGTGGACAAGGAATCCAGGGTCTCGAAGCCAGGGGGGCTTCGATCGTGGACTGGCCCTGGATATCACCGCCGCCCTCATTAGAGAAGGAAGCCCCCAGGGTCTGGCGCCTCCTGGGCACATGCCTTGACCAACGGCCCCACCACCGTAGAATGAAGTCGGGCGCGTCCCTCCACAGGGGGAATATTCACAAATGAGTCAAAAAGTAGCCCGGGGCCGACTTTTGAGCATTGTCAGACCATGTCTGATGATGCTGGGATTCTGTTTCTCCCTTTTCGCCCATCATCCGCCTGTAGGGGCACATGCCCGACCTAAGAGTAGAAGCTGTGAGCCAGAAAACAAACCACGCCACCCCGCCTACGGCTACCACGGCGCGTGCCAGGACATCGGGCGCGGGTTGTTGCGTGTGTGTGCGCTACGGCCCCCGCTGGGCCGTCGCGCAGCATGGAGGGCCGCGGGTGGGGTGGTGTCATGTGTTAGTTGGTCGACGCTGGAAATGCGGGAGATGGATCAGAGGAGCAAGAGGTCATGATAGTGATGCGTCCCAGAAGTTCCTCGGCCACGTGGATTTCCCACATTTCCTGATGCTCTCCGTCCCGGCTGCGCCGCTAGATGTTCTGGAAATCTTGGAACGGATCTTGAGCCAATCTCATCATGACGTCATTCTCGCCGTGATGGAGCCGAAGAGGAACATCCGGAACATATGGGAACAGATACCGAGGGACCCCGACGCGCGTGTGTGTGTGTGTCTACTTGCTTGTGTCTCCCTGGGCCCCTCCAAGGAGGAGAACCTGCTGTTCCTGCTGGGGGAGGCCGAGTGCTCGTCCCGGTGGGCGCTCGGAGACCGGCTCAGACTGGAGGGCACCCTCTGCGAGGCTGTTGGGCTTGGGGCGCGCGTGCTTTTACAGGCCCATGCGAGCGACGCAAACCAGGGGGTCGTCTGCGTCGGCATTCGCGCGCTCAATGCGCCCGCGCAAGGTCGCGCGTGAGCGCCTTGGTCTCCCATAAGTAGCGTGCCGCGCCGGAGCCCCGCGCAGGCCGCAGCGCAAGGTCGCTGCGCCCTCTCGCGCAAGACCCGCTTGGGACCGTCGCCCACATGGGCTCCGAGCAGCTGTGGTCGGAGAACGGCGCCGCCTCGCCGACGCATCGCCGATTCGGCTCGCTGCGGGGCCCGATGTCCTCCGCGCTGGCGTCGCCGATGCACCACCGACCTCATCTGCTCAGAACGTGTCTCAGAAGGCGCGAGGGTTTCTGAGAAGTCCCGCCGCCTTCTGAGAAGGCCGTCTCTGCCCCTCGCTCGCCGCCAGAATGCAGGGTGTCTCCGGAAGTTTCGACCCTTTCCTGGGGACCAGCTCATTCTGAGTCATTTTTTGGAACGGTCCTGGGGCTTGGCCGAGGCCTCCAGAGGCCGAAAACGGCGAATCGCCTCCGTCTCGGGTCTCTGGGTTGGGAAGCCCCACGAAAAGTTACGGTGTACGCCTTCTCTACATTGGCTGAGCCTGGTTTGCACAGCCACGCCCGACCCCGTCGCGGCTGAAGGGACGGGGATCAATGCAAACGAGGGCCAGCCAGAGCGCCATATCTTGCAGGATCCTGCAGAACCAGGGGTGCACTGACACGCGCCAGCGCGCAGGATCCGTCAGACTCTTGCAGGATCTTGCTCAGGGGCAACGATCGGGGGGAATAACAGGGCATAGGGGGCGATGCATCGAACCCCAATCGCCGATGAGGGTCAACGCAAACGAGGGCAGCCTTCCGAGAAGGCCTCCTCTCGCTTCCTTCCCTCGCTCGCCGCTGGCAGCAGGCCTCCAGCTCTGGGGGTCCGCGCCGGCGGGGGTCAAGCATGATGGGCCTGTTTTCCACTACCACCACCAGAAGTTGAAGGGGGGAAGGAGGTGGAGGATGAGGAGGAGGAGGACGAAGAGGAGGAAGAGGACCCCCTCCCCCCTCCAACTTATGGTGGTGGTGGTGGTGGAAAACAAGCCCAACAAAGCAGAGCTGGTCCCCTTCGCTCCCCTGCGGCCGACGCGTGGCCGCTGGCGGCCTCCGTTCGCCTGGCCCCGTGGCCGTCGAGGAACGACCCGTGGACCCTCCTACCGGAGGAATCGTCAGACGTTAGTCCCAAAACAGTCTGGGGACGATTCTTCTACCATGTTTGCCTACTTGGAGATATTCTTGGCTACTCTATATCTTTCGTCCGAAGTCCGTCTGCAGTCTGGGGCGATGTTTGAGCATTTGTACCCCATTTTCTGTTCTTAAAAATATGTTTTATTTGTCGCCCGAAACCCGCCTGTAGGGGGATATGCCCGACCTCAAACGGCCAGGGGAAAGGCGTCGGAAGTCTGTGCCTTGGCCGACCCAGGCTTGGGGGCCGTGCGCCACACGGCCCCCGAGCCTTCTATTCCGGGCTCGCCTCTGTCGGCTCGGCGTCGGCTCGCCTTCGGTTCTGCTCTGGCCTCGCGAGGTCCTGGAGAAGTGCTTTTTGATAGTAATATCCACCCGATCGACCTGAGATCAAGATGGCGAGCGGGAATAAGATCGAAGATGGGGGAAACAAATTAGAGCTCTGACGGAAATCATTTCGAGGAAATGGTTTCCAACCGACCAGAATTATGCAAAACTTCCGTCGAGATTTTTCGGCCATCCGTGCGGCCGCGGGCACGGACGCAGGGGCACACCCGTACAAGGCGTAAGCACGTCGCTGGCCGCGGGGAGCCGGCCCCCCTCCCCCGCTTCTCCCACCGCCGGCCTGGGTCTAGAATTAAGTCGGGCCTGTCCCTCCACAGGGGGAATATTGACAAGAATAGTCCAAAAATATTCTGGGGACTATTTTTTGAGTATTTTTGTACCTTTTTGGCGTATCTTTCGAGTATTTTTTATTTTTCGTCGAAACTCCCCCTGTAGGTGGACGCGCCCGGCTTAAGTCTCGGAGCCGCTGTGCAACGAGCCGTGGTTCGCGGCACAGTCTTGGCTGGCCCGCGCTGGCGCGGAACGATCGGCGCGCCCCCGATGGCAATGCACAAGCGTCGGGGGGTCGTACAGTCAAGACGCTGAGAGAAGGAGCAATGTGGGTTCGGAAGGGGCTCACGTCCCTCAGATTCCTCCAGTGCTGTTCCTCTTGCCCTCCTGGGGCGCGCAGGCGCTTAAAGGGCCAAGAAGGAGCTTCGTTCCTTATTTAGCGTTCCTTCTCTTAACGGCCCGGCTGTATGGAGAGGGTTTTATCCCAGGGTGGGGTTGGGGAACGGGCCCCGCTGGATGCTCCCGCGTAGCGCGTTTCCTTCTTCCAGGGGCCGTTTGGGGCGATGTTTCCTCCAGGCCCACCCTTGCCCCAACCCCAACCCCTTCGTGCCCCCCCCCCGAGAGCGAAGTTGGAACACGTCTGTGGGCGCCCACGCGCCTGCCCTGGGTCGGCACGGCGCGGCGTGGCCCCGATCTGAATGCACAGAGAGCCCAGGCCAATTTCGGGGCGCCCACGCGCATTCCTTCCGTCGTCGTCGTCGTCGCCGCCGCCGTCGTCGTCGCCGTCGTCGTCGCGTCGCCGTCGTCGCCGTCGCCAACTTCGTCGTCGCCGTCGCCGTCGCCGTCGCCGTCGTGGCCGTTGCCCCACAAGCCCGAGCAGCGGCGTCTCCGGCGCTGCCCCTGGCGGTGGAGGGGTGCCAGCGCCGACCCGACAGATCCGTGCGCACCCATTGACGCTTGCGCTCGCGGCGGGCTTTTCAGAGGAGGAATAGGCACCCATACCGGTACCCATCCCTCGATTTCCCATTTTGGCGCCTGAGGCCCTCGTCGCCACGGCTGGATTCGCTCCGAAAGTCTGGTCAGAACGAAACCCCAAGAGAGGTTTGGGGCGTAGCGGTATCAGTACCTCTTGTTTTCCCCCGCCTCTGCTGCCTTGCAGGTGTGCAGGGTGGAGACGCGCGTGAATTTGAGGTGGCAGGACGACGTGGCGTCCGCACAAGTGCCGGCCAGGGAGCTCCAGCTGTGCAACCCCTGACGCGTTCAGCTTCTTCCCGTCCGAGCTCGTCTGCCAGCGCACCCTCGAGAAGCCGACCGGGTCGGCACCAGCCCCAGGTACCGACCGATCACGCGGCCGCTGGTCTCCAGCGCAGGGACCGTTGTCGGGAGCCTTTACTTTAGACGGGGGTCCATGCAAACGGGGGTCAGCCAGAGCGCCCGATCTTGCAGGATCCTGCAGGGCCAGGGTCGCATTGACCCGGGCTTGGGCGCAGGATCCTGCAGGATCTTGCAGGATCCTTCCCATTGACCCTGGCTTGGGTGCGGGATCTTGCAGGATCTTGCAGGGTTCTGCACGGCCTGACTGACCCGGGTCTGGATCGACCTGGGTCAGACGATCCCCGACGTTGACCGCGCGCTCGCCGATCATGGCACCAGCTTTGGTCTGGTTGCGTGCGGTAGGCTCTGGCGCGGCAGCGGCCCCAGCGGGGACGTTCGCGGGTGCACGCCGCCAGCGGCCAGGAGATGCCGAGCCATCGGCGCCGTTCCGAAAGCCGTGATCGCTCAAGGCAGATCGCTCTTCGCGGTGCAGCAGGCAGCTCGCAAGTCGCCACGACACAAGATCTATTCGGCCACGCGCAGAGGGGGGTAGGGGAAGAGGGGAGGGCTTCTTAGAAGCACCCTGCTTCTTAGAAGGCGCGGGCGCCCCTTCTAAGAAGCTTGTGGCTGCTTCTTCGAAGCTGTTCCTGGCGTGTTTCTACGAAGCAGATGGCTTGCTTCTTCGAAGCTGTTTTTGCTTCTGAGAAGCAGCTCCGTGCTTCTACAAAGCTGCTGGGGTGCTTCTTTCGAGCGGCGCGCCCCTGGCTTTTGCGCCGCCAGTCTACAGGCGGGGCGCTGAAGAAGGAGCCCTTTTCGTTGGGGAGGGGCCCGGTGCTCCTTCATTGCTTTGCGCTCTGCCGTCGGTCTTCCTGAGGTTTCCCATTGGAAGTCGAAGTTTAGCTCATGGGAAGAGGGGGCCTCGCTCCTTATCTTTTGGACGCCCGAAATGGGTATGGAAAGAATGGGTACAATGCCCAACAGCAGTTCCTGTTCATTCTGAACAGGACTCGCTGTCGGTGTCGCCGCGGCCTGTGTCCATTCGAGACAGAAGGCCGCCTGCCCAACAGCGGCCGCTGTTGGTTTGAGACAGCATTTGTTGTCGGGCATTGTACCCATTCTTTCGGTACCCATTTCGGGCTTCCAGATGTCTAAGGGGGGGTCCTCGGGTCCACGCCCCGACGGTGTCGCACCCTCCGCTCGGCCATGGCCTGCGCAGTGGGCACGGCCGCAGCTGCGATCGGAGCGTGCGATCGGCGGCCGCGGCCCTGGTGAGGGGCAACACCCAAGACCAAGTCTTCAGTCGGGCGTGTGCCTCCACATGAGGAGTATCCGAAAAAGTGAGATAAGAGTCCAGGGGTGATCTTTCTAGCATTGTTGTTAATGTTTTGATTTTTTTGGGCTTATATATATATATATATATATATGTATATTTATATATATATGTGTGTGTCTTCCAAAATCCGCCTGTAGGGGGACATGCCCGACTTAAAACCAAGTCTGGTCCCACAGAGTCCCCGCGCCCCCCACGGCTGCGTTTTTTTCTGGCGTGCAGGCGCCATCTCGTGGGGCCCCCGAGGCGCTCGCAGTCGCTCCCATGCCATGATGGAGGGAAACTGTCCTGGGGGAGTCGGGTCCTGTTCGGCAGCAAGTCGTGGGAGCCTGGTATACCCTTTTGATTATGATGTCTCCAGCGTCGGCTGGCGTCGACCAGTGTCTGGGAGTCGATGACACAGCGCCGATGCAGCGTCGATTTGGCGCCGATTAGCTCTGCCCAGCGTCGGCTCGCAAGAGCCGACAAAATGGCACGGGAGGCTCCCGGGAGTGGCCGCCCGGAGGTCCTGCACCCCAGGCCGTCCCCCGGGACCAGCTCTTCGGCCACGGGTCGTTCTCTGAGGGCCCCTGGGCAAACATGGCCCCACGGACGGCGATAACCTCTTCCGCTGTTTCTTTGATCTCAAACTTCCTGCCTCCTAAACCTGTTCAGTTTTCAAACAAGAATCCCAGAGCTCCCCCCTCCTAACACTTCTCATGTCTCAAAACCCCCAAATTCCCCCTCACCCCGGACCCGCTCGACACACGCTCAGCGAGCGGCACCCCCGAGGCGCCCGAGATGGCCCCCTCGAACGGCCACCTGCGAACCCTGCCCCACCACCCCACGATTTCTGATCGGGGGGGGGGAGGGGGCTCACGCCGCTCGGGAGGCCCCGAACGAAGTGGAGCCCCCCCCCCCTTAGAAATCGTGCGGTGGTGGGCCTGGGCTCGCAGGTGGCCTCCTGCCCCCGCCCCCCCCCCCTTCCCCGTGGCCGCGGCGGAAAGAACAGCTCCACGCGGCCGATCCGCGGCCTGCCCCCCCCGGGCCCCCCCCCCTGCTGTGCCCACCGAGAGGAGCGAGGGCCGAGGAGCCTCGAGGGCCCTCGGGGGCCTGGGAGGGCACTCGAGGCTCAAAGGGCCTCGAGGACCTCCAGGGTCGATGGCCTGAGGACCGAGGATCTCGGTGCCCCAGGCTTACGTCGGGCACGTCCCTCTACAGGAGGAGTACCCAAGAGTAGTCAACAAGTAGTCTGGGGACGATTCTCCGACGATTGCTGATTATTTTTGTTGACTACCGCGGGCCAGCTCGCCCATTGCAGGTCGACCAGACGCTGTCCCACAGTAGGGAATCAATGATAGGTGAGGCCCAAGAGGCTCTCCATGGAGGAGCCTCTGCAAAAAGAGCTGAGGAGGATTCTCTTCATGTTCCGGCCATGCGTTGTGCGGGAAAAACTGTTCACATAGTATCGAGCGTGGCCGACACGATCTGTTGTCCGCGGTGTTGTCCTGGCCGGACTTCGGGGCCCACCTCGTGGGCGCGGCGAGGCTGCCATTGGTCTGCTGAGTGGGTCGGCGTCCGATTGGTTTGGGGGAGTATTGTTTGGTGGAGATGTTTGACAATATTTCGTTCGTCTTCCTCAATCGGGCGAAGAGAACTATACACATGCACCGATCCTGGCAAGGCCCGTCCTTGACCCAGGATCGGTGCATATACCTTCATGGCCAAGGTAGCGGGCGTATGCACCGGTCCTGGGCTCAGGATGGGCCTGGCCAGAATCGGTGTATGTGCATAGTTCTCTTTTCTCCAGGTTTGGGGGATTTGTTGGGGGGGATGTTTGACAATGTTTCGTTTGCCTTCCTCAACCCGCCCGTTGGAGGACATGGCCTGGCCCCCCCTCGGCGCCGGCCCCGCCGCGCGCCCGGGTCTGCTCGGAGCGGGTCCTGCTCCCGCCTCTCCCCTCGCCTCGGCCGTCGCCTCGTCGCCCCCCCTCCCCCCGCCTCCTGCGCGGTGGCCGAGTTCGCCTGCAGCCAAGACGCTGAAATGAGGAACAGTTTGGATTCGGAAGGGGCTCGATGTTCCTTACGCCCTTCGGTGCTTGTTCCTCTAGCCCAGCCCTTCTCGTGCACCCATGCTTTTTTTGAAGCCCCAGAGGGGCTTCGTTCCTTATTTAGCGTTCCTTATTTCAGCAGCCCGACTGTAGCGTTGCCCCGTTTCCTTTTACTCGCCAGCGCAGTCGCTCTGCGTAGCCGAAGACGTAGAAAAAGTCGGGGATGACACATGCCCGACCCAACCCCGGGCTCGAGGCTCGAGGCTGGAACATCCCGGGTCGAGGACCTCGAGGCCCGAAGGTCTTTGCGGAGCTCGAGGGCCTTCGAGGAGCACGAGGGCCTTTCGAGGGCACCTCAAGGTCCCCGAGCCTCGAGGAGCACGCGGGCCCTTCGAGAGCACCTCCAGGACCCCTCGAGGAGCCCTCGAGGACCCCTCGGGGAGCTCGAGAGGCCCGACGCCCTCCGCACCCAGGGGGGGGGCCCCCCCCCCCCCCCCCCCCCCCCGCGACCTCCCGCCCTCGCCGCCGAGGACACGCGGCGCACCCCCCCACCACTCGGGAAAAGTGAGCCGTGTCGTGTCGAGCTGCTTTGGTGCCCTGGCGTCCGCCGATGTCGTCTGTTCCATCCGCGGCCCCCAAAGGCCCCCGACCCGCTTCCCCGGAGGTGGTCTTTGGTCCGGGATCCACTAACCGCACGCTGGTGCGGATACGCCCCTGGGGATGATATAAAGTTCGGGGCCCAGGCGGGAGAATACATGTGTTGCCGGATGTATCTTACATCAAAGAGCAGCCAATCAGTGGGTGGTTGGAAAAGTTGTGATATGGATTTTGAGATCCATTGTGAGATCAATAGTGAGATCGATCGTGTAATCGATAGTGTAGACGATTGTATGGTCGATCGCGAGACCGATAGTGATGCCGATCCAATGACATCGGTAGAGAGATCGATCGTTAGATCGCTCGTGCGATCGATAGCGAGATCGATTGTGAGATCGATAGTGAGATCGATTGTGAGATCGATTGTGAGATCGATAGAGAGGTGGGTAGTGGGTATGAGATCGATGGTGAGACCGATCGATCAGAAGATCAACCAGGAACCTGGGAAACTGGGAACCCCGCCGCCCACCGAAATCGGCCCGGGACCCGGAACTGGGAACCAGGGAACCCAGAGCCGGAAACCCAGGATCCCAGTCGCCCACCGAATCGGCCCGGCACTTTCGCCAAATTTTGAATCTCCGCTAGGACCCCTTCAGTGCAAGCACTAATTAAGAAATGCTAGGATGTGTGAATCGCGCTTCGCTTGAAACATCCTCACAAACAGAGCTACGATAGGAACTTCGGAGGGCATAATAAAGTTCGGCCTCCCCGCCTGCTGTTTCAATTGTGCCACATTCAATCCCGTTGATCAACATAACAAAGGGGGAAGGGGGGGCATGCGTTATTACCTGGGGGGTGCTGTTATTCATGGTCCCTGGGTCCGATGACGGCCCCAGATGTCGGGAGCCTTGGATGGGGGTCCCTGGGTCGCGGGACTGGGAAGCCCCACGAAAAGTTTCGGTGCATTCTTGTTCTAGATTAGCTGAGCCTGGTTCGCGTTGGGCCGGGTCCGTCCACGCCGGACTTCGTCGGGGATCACGGGACGGGGGTCAG